ATATTTACTTATATCTAAAAATTGGATTTTCGAAATAATATTGCACAGATACTGTTAATTCATTTGATTCCGTGGGCATGAAGTTTCGTGATTTTGTCACGAAAGACATTTTCGTGGATTCTTAAATTCATAGATTGTATATTTCTTAAAGGGAAATGATTATACAGCCAACGAAATAAAATTTGTTGGATATGAAATTAATGAATAGACCTACCCACGAAAACCACGAAAATTAGTTCTCCACGAATAATATTTTTTTAGCATTAAGTGAAACAATATGTTAATTGTATGTACTTCCTGATAAAGTTCATCATATCATATTCAACCCTGATCAATAGTGACACTTTAAAAGTGATATATAACACTATTTTCTACATCCTTTTATAAAAGAATATCATTTATTGTCCAATTTTTAACTTTAAATTTGTATTAAAAACAACAGTAAAACAATTACGTTTTATCGATCCGGTTTCCGTTTTTGAGAAACAATATTTAAGTTCATATAGTTTGTAAACTAATTGCGTGCCAGTTTGTTTAATAAATTGCAGCAGAACAGAATATGAATGTATTTTCAATTAATTTATTTAGGACAGACATGCATGTGTGATATTTAAATATATGTGTTGCGTGTATTGTAATGTTTGGTGTGATGATAATATATGTTATGCAAATTAAACCCTTTACCTGATGAATTTGCATAATTGACTTAACAATACTCAGTTGACCTGGATCTATACTGGTGGCAAAAGTTAGCATTTTACGTTCCAACAGGTTTAAGATTCTGGCAGGGAAGGTTATTCATTTTAGGTTTCAGCTGGAAGGTTTATTCATTTTAGGTTTCAGCTGGGAAGTTTATTCATTTTAGGTTCCATCAGGGAGTTTATTCATTTTAGGTTCCATCAGGGAAGGTTATTCATTTTAGGTTCCATCAGGGAAGGTTATTTTTTTAGGTTCCATAAGTGAAGTTTATTCATTTAATGTTCCATCAGGGAAGGTTATTCATTTTAGGTTCCACCATAGAAGGTTTTCATTTAATGTTCCGTCAGGGAAGGTTTTTCATTATAGGTTCCATCAAGGATATTTATTCAATTTATGTTCCATCAGGGAAGGTTTTTCATTTTAGGTTCCATCAGGGATATTTATTCAATTTATGTTCCATCTGGGAAGGTTATTCATTTTATGTTCCATCAGGGAAGGTTATTCATTTTAGGTTCTATCAGGGAAGGTTATTCATTTTAGGTTCCAGCAGGGAAGTTTATTCATTTTAGGTTCCATCAGGGAAGTTTATTCATTTTATGTTCCATCTGGGAAGGTTATTCATTTTAGGTTCCATCAGGGAAGTTTATTCATTTTATGTTCCATCTGGGAAGGTTATTCATTTTAGGTTTCAGCAGAGTAAAAGTTCAAGCGTTTCTTTATTGAATTATGAATATTCATGAGAACTATAATCTATTTGAATGATGACGTACGAGCGTACTTCTTGTTTAACTAACATTTAATTAATTTATTTGTCAAGACAATCATCATAAACATGTGCAATGATTGTGTTTGAATAAAAATGCATCATGAAAATACATTGATTCTTATCACTTTCAAAATATAGGGGGAACAAAGGGACTTTGGAATGCTATTTTCTAATGAATGACAAATATATCATCGCTTCATATCTTAACATTCGACATTCTACAAATGTTCACCTTATAAGAAAACATTCCCTACAGCAATGTCAAGTCTAATTATTTCATCGTAAGAAAGTCACTTTAACACCATACATCGAATTTATAAATAGGAAAAAATTGATAAAATCTATAAAGGTCATGTTCGTGTGACATAAATGGCTTGACATAAAAGGTGATTTGGCCAGTGGTGCGTTTCTTGTTTAATCTATAATGAAATCAAATCTATCATCGGTGCACATTACCCTTTATTTGCCGCCTTTTTGTCGTCTGTCCGATGATAAGATAACTAACAATTATTGCTATGAGACATAGTCAATGTTTTTGGCAAAGATTAAATGTATAAGGAGAGAAAACTGTTTTCACAAAAAATGTACAAAAATAGTTCAATAGCACAATATTGATATAATGAATGAAAATATTGTAACTATAATACTAGACTTTTTCTGCGCATTCAAATTGATTAAGATAAATTTTTTTTTAAATCCCTTTTTACGTCGCTCCAACACAGTACAGGCTGGTGGATGGAGGTAGACCTTAGGCGTCCTTCTGTACAAACGGGCATCTAAGTAGATCCATTCGCGTTCCGTAAGCTAGCTGGATAGCTTCCTCATATGAAAGAATGCGAAAGAATATGAAAGAGAACGCGACTCGAACCTTAAGCGGTGAGAACTTCAATGTCATATTGATCCAAAACAGACAAACATGTTTCAAGCCCAATAAATGGAAAGAAAAAGAAAGATGTTTCTACTGTTAACACTATTCTTCTGTAAACATACAGAACATAAATTGATTTACCGCATTTAACTGTTTAATAAAACGCAGATAAGAGCGCAAGCGTGCAAGGCAGTTATGTAACGTTAAGTACTTACAAATAGTATGCCATTCATATTGATAAAAGCAATAGATATTAGCTTTTATTGACAAAAACAAACGTGAATTATATAGTTTTTGTTATATAAGTCATGAGATCTTAAAGTCAATGAGTAGAAAGACTATATACATCTAAATCTATAATTAAAATAGATGGATCAGTTTTCATGAACATAAATATTCCAGACTTATAGTAAACATAACCGAGCATGCTGCAAACGAGACAATTTGAAGACGTTCTAGTTTATTGTAAAAATAAAGACCCTCCTGAAAACAAGAACATACACACGTGTTAGGAAAATAAAGTTAAAGAATAAGATAAAAAAACAGGTCGTGCCCCAGAGGAAGCATTTGTTGACCACATCAAATCTTCTGTCGGTTCACATGGCATTTTTTCCAGCCTTTTAATACTTGGTAGTTTACGTGTCACTTTTATGTTAATTTTAAATATAATGAATATATTTACAACGTCGTTTAATATATTTACAAAAAAATCTTTAATTAATACTTCATTATGTAATGTATTACACTCAATTGGAGGTGAAAATGATTTGAACAGTTGATAATAAGTGTTCTGCAAACATATCAGGCATATATAACATATTATTTACGCCTGCATAATTTGCTTACAACGTTACACCGTTTGTTAAGGCAGAAGAAGGTATAAATTGAAGCCATTTAAATAATTACCATTCCAATTTTATCAATGTAATAAATAGAAAACCATTTTCATGAAGGCTCATAAGGTCAACGTCCAATTCTATCTGCAAAGTCTTCATTATTCATCTCAGGTATGATAAACTGAATGTTCTGTAAAACATATTTGGATGCACATGCACAATATCTGGTTACAAATAACGATACAATGTTCAAGGACAAAGCGTTTACAAAATCTAGTCTGAAATCTGTACGCAAACAACCTAATTGTACAAAATAGAAACTAATCTATTAAAGGAGCTCCACTGAGGTCAAAAAGGCCTAAATATATAAAATGTAAAGCACTTAAATTTGTACAACATTTGAAAAAGGATAATGACGATATGCACGCAAAGTTTAATTAAATATTTATCTTTGTGCATTATTAGCCCGATGTATGTGAAAAAGTTTCATTTGGATCATTTTTGCATAATAAAAATGATTTTGTGTGAGAGAATGATCTGAAAGGGATGAAAATGAACGTTACACCGTTACTATATCAGTTCTTTTTGTCATACTTCGTACCTCGAATGTAATTTTAGGAATATACCCACCGAGTATAGCATTTCGGTTTAATGCCAGAAAAAGTAAAAACGTATTGAGTTATTACTTGGAATTGTTCAATCATTTTATTTTCATTATACGTGTTAAAGTCGACTTCTATTATTCTAATTAAAAATATAAAAGTAAAATGCATATCATTAGGATAAAGCGACATTTCATATAGTAAATCATTTTCAGATTTATAATATTGGCGAAGAACTTGTACCATCATAATATCATACACATACATTGTTTTCCTACAAACGTTTACCATACACCTTTGTGACTTAAAATGCAATGTTACACATTCTCAAAGTCACGTGTTAGATCTACTGTTATTCCCTATTGCTTCTGAGATGATTATGTGTACTCGTCGGGGTGTTCCGGAGGAAACATACGCATGTCGCATAAAATATTCCGTTATCGATAACTGTACATGATCTAATGTCAATATTCATTCTTTTCCCTAAAATCTTATTTAGGCTCAAGCAGATCTAGTTTCACTTTCAAATAGCCGTTTATTAGCATATTCAGTTTGTTTGCCTTTTTCTAGTAAATAGACACATTCATATATCATAACAGCCAGGTCTCAACGGACCCAGGGTTTCATTTAATTATCCGTGTTCGTCCTCGGAAAACGTACTCATATTCTGTCCAAATAATTCCCTTGACGATTTTGAACTGTCTTTATGTCTTCATAGATGAAAGCTTTTGGAAATTGTCTGACTTAATATTTTAAGCAAACGAATTGTTGCTGGTACTTTAGATTTCCAAAGATGTAGGACAGATGAATTTCGTTTTACATACACTTATATATTATAGTATAGATTCAACAACTTTTTGACGAAACCGATCTTTTGCAATTTTCGTGGTAGAATAGGTTGCATATATTGCTTTTATTTTCTACAAATGTTTGTATGTTATAATTTCAAAATATTAAGCTAAAGAAACATGTGTCCGCTAAGAAGTAATGAAAATGCAATCAATTTGTACGAAAATGGTTTAAACAGGTCACATAGATAAATGCATTTTCACAAATAAACCAGAAAAAGAGCAAACGTATCGGAAACATTGTGCAAAATTTACACAAAATAATCCACAATAAACAATAACTTTAAGCTGCTTAATATTCCGAATTAGCGTGAGCAGGTATAATAGACAAATTATATAAGAAAACGCCCAAAACATACAACACAATTTAATATATTTCAGGAAATGCATATGGTTTTCCTACTATGCATGAGCACGCATTTTGCCGTCACAACCGCGGAGTCCCAGACTTCAGACCAACACGACGACAGTTATGGCATCATTATGGACGGAGGCAGTACGGGTACGAAACTCAAAGTTTATAAATGGAACCACAGAACATCCGGTACTTTGCCTGACGGACAGGACAGCAAACCGGGTGTTGTTAGAAACCTTCAGCTTGTTAAAAGTACCAAATTTAAACCTGGTATAAGTCAAATTGCGGGAAAACCGGATGAACTTAAAGGATATTTGGACAAGATTATGCAAAATGCTGTCAAAGAGGTGCCTAAAGATAAACATAGTGACACACCGATATACTTCATGGCTACAGCAGGTAATGCTCATTTTTGTTTAACTTGTATTTTTAGATATTAAACATGTTTCGTCATTACGTCAAATACCCATTTTAAAAGATACCTTTAAAAATCAGGAGAAATCGGGAGAAAGGCAATGTGCAACATCTTTGAGCCCCCCCCCCCCCAGCACCGGTTCAAGCCCAAATCAATTTTTTTAATATCTTAAGTATTGAACTAAATGATATCTAATGACTAAAAACACAATATATAAAAAACACTTTTTTTCTTTGAAACTTGAAAGTGAGATATGGGATATAAAACTGAAACTTATCTTATGCAATTTAACGATTATGGCGTTAAATATTTTTATATTTTGTTGAAACTATTTGAATTCTTCGTCTGTATATTGTAGGCATTTTTGGATGAATAAATACAATTAAAACACTACTTAATTCGAATGCTTCCGAAATATTGATATTGCCAAAAAATCATGTATAAACTGGACAAAAATGCCTTTCGATAGAAAATATTTATACTATTCTGAATCAAAGCTTGGCATTACAAATTTTCGATTCATTTTACGATTCAATTAAAAAATGTACAAATGTATTTTTGTGCAAATGTGTTTTTCCTTAGCAGAACTGAGAAAAAAATGTACAAAATTTTTAATTTGTGAAATACTAAAAATTCTTCAAGACCATCTGTTAGTATTATTTCAGCGTCATCACACTATCATGTGAGATAAAAACAAAATGTACCTGTTGGCAACCAACTATCATGTTATCTCAGATTCCTGCTGATCTATTTTATTTTCTTGTGATTAAAATCTTCAGAGTGATTTTCTCATGATCAGAGGGTGTTCAGGGAGCATTTGGACTTCATTCGATAGCGTTGTGCCTTTTGTTGTAGCTTCTGTTTCCTCAATAAATCAAAAATGTAATTGAGCAATAACTCTTCACAGGAAAACCTGTCTTTCTCGGTAGATCGCAGATCATGACAATTTTGATTGTTGAATGATTTAGTACTTTCCGCCAACATATACATTAAAGCTGTCAATGATTCTAAGTACTCATCGCGTGTAGAAAGTTGGGAACAAATGAGAAAAAAATGTTGTGTACGTCTAAATAAGTTGTAAAAAACAAAAGTTGCTTCATGATAGGTTTAATAATTCGCTTACTTATTACAAACAAACGTGATATTACCGCGATATAGAAGAATATAGCATGAATAATAATCCAAAGGGGGGTCAACTTAACCATATGAACATTTCAATACTTTGATTTATACTCGTTTGATTTAAACTTAATCAGTTATTTTATATGAGTAATAATAAAAAGTAATAAGCGAAAGATACATGTAACGTTATATAATTAAAACGTTCTTCATTTAAAAGACATAAAATACACTGTTTCGAAAATTATATTGAACAGTGTTATTACCAAACCAGAATATGAGATGTTGTATCTCGGTAGCCTAGAATATTAAATGTTTGTATCTCACAACCAAAGGGTCATTTGTTTAATCCCTCCCGGGGCCACGACCATGTGTCCTCATATACACCGGTGCTGGTTAGCTCCAGGACAGACACCTGTGAACTGTTCAGATAAGCTAAGCAACTAGCTTTCTTCACACGTCTTTATTTTTATTAGATAAAGAAATCTGAACACTTATAACAATCGCACCTTTACCGTTAAAGGGACTCCTCGGATCTCCAAAACCCTAAATACATAAAAGTTGAATATCTTACATAGTTCAACTGGAGCAACTTAAAAAAGAAAGCTATGCAAAAGATATTTAAGAAATATACTCAGAATTAATTGAAAATCGTATATTTTTTTGCTATTTTAGTCCGGTTTGACGTTTTACAATATTGGGAAAAAATGAGCGAATTATCTGAAAATTTTGCACACAAGGTATTGGTCTAGACTTACATTAAATGGAACATTCATCTTGAAAAAAACATATTACCATTCCCGTCATGTCAAAATAAATTCTGTGCAGTTCTTTTAATAAAAAAAAAACATCGTTTCATTTCAATATCTGTGAAACGATTTCATAGCTAATTCATCACAAGAAATTGTATACATGTACTTTTACTGAACAGTAATTTCTTTTGATGGTAGAATCTAAAGAACGATAAACCTGTCGTTCATATACTGTATCAACACACAGGTGGAATTTCAAACATACGAGATATATCTCTTAATTTGACGGAACTGATAATGATAAATTACTTTTATCAAATCTCAGACATATCATTATGGAATGATATATTGCAAAGTATTTATAGAGGACGGCACGGGTGTGTTCGGACAAGACTTTTGTTATAACTCTGGCGTTTTTTAAGTTATTAAAAAAAAGAATTTTAGTTTTTCTACATCAAAAATGTTAAAATAAGCTGTAGAACTTTAGTGGGTTGTTTTGGAGGATGTTTCTTTTTACCTGCAATGGCTGGAAATTAAAGGAACTCCGCTGAGGTCACAATGCCTAAAAACATAAAATTTAATATTATTGTATAGATCAAGTGTTTTATTTAAAATAGAAAAATCTGCAAACGATAATAAAAAAATTTAATCAAAAGTTAAGTTTAAAACGATTTTTTGCACGATTTTTAGCCAAGTTTGAGTGAAAAGCTTTGCAACCCTTTAAAATTTTTGGTGATTTTGTACAATAAAAATTATTATCATAATTATTATTTAACGAAATGAGTGGATGATTTGAAATGTGAAATGTTGCACACAAGTTATTAGTCCAGACCTACATTAAATGGTACCACAGTCTCAGAAAAAATATTTCACGTCAAAAACCTCAGTGGAGTTCCTTTAAGGCATTATACATGGTATGAGAAAATTAATATATTAGCATAAAATATAGTCCTTTAGCGCGAGAATAACAGTTCCATTGTTGGTTAATGAGTCTGGCGAGCGTTATAAAATTGTTATCCCAATGATTGTATTTATATTTGCTTAAAGACATTTCAAGGTTTCTTCAATATCTGTACAGTATCAAACAAGAATCTACTAATGCGTGTGTTTTGGCAAATGCTTATCATAATATCTCCAGTACAATCTGAAATCCATCTTTTCATCAATCATTACCGAATAAAAAATATGTTTTAACAGAAAACGGAATAAATGAAAGAAACTTTTTTGGGAGACGTTGATAGCGCTTATCGTTTCTTGTCTCTGTTTTTCCATTAATAATCACAAAATGAAATTGTGCAGGAATTGTTGATACTGGTCTTTTTGTAGTTTTCCACAGACTTTGTCATGTTTGGATCGTATTTATAAACAGGTAAACGTAAATGTTTGAAAAATACAGTTATGTATCAATTCATCAGTAACTACTGTCAACAAATGTCAGTGGAAAAGGCATGCGTGTTGTATATTTGCACCCAAATTTACACAAATGTATATGACAAGTTGGGAAATATATCAGAATTTGCGACGTAAAAATTCCGTACACAAACTGACGAATTATCTCAAATTCCGGTATTTGGGATACCGGTTTCATAAAGATTTTTTACAATATAAATAAAGTTAAGAATAAATTCGGGAACTTGTAAAATGTCCCCTTTTCTAGGGGAAACCGGTTTAGTAAAGAACCGGTTTTGCGGGGGCTTACTGTATTTACAATGAGATTGATTACACACAGTATGTCACATATTAAGGTTTCAATTACATATAAAAGACAGTAGTCACACGAAAGAACGCTCTTAACTAAAAAAGATAACAAATGGTTGCAAGCCCGGTTTGTTCGGCCTGTACAAAGGCCGCATTTGATAATGTAATGTACTGTCAATGCCCTACTCTCCTAAGCACCGGCTGAATCTTCAGCATGTCTTGAGCATGGTGTAAATTATGAATTCACTTGAAGTAATTACCTGACATTGTTAAAAATGACAAATTAATTAGAGAAAAAAAAATAAAAACTTATCATTTCATATTGCTAAATTTTAGCTTTTTAATAAATTCTATAAGAGCCTGATTTCAGATCCATGTGAATCGTTTTTTCTCCGTTTATTGCCATTAAATTTCACTCTTTAATTACTATATTATTTATTTGAAACGATTTTGCAAGACCTTGATCAATGCAAACTAATCTGCTCCAGGTTCTTGTCTATTAGGTTCTTGTTGTCTATTCCAGGTTTGCGGGTCCTACAAATTAACGAAACGGAAGATCTCTTAACTTCTATAGAGCATTACATGCAGACATGTCCATTCCTTACACCCGAGAACAGCGTGCGCGTTATATCTGGAGAAGAAGAGGGAGTTTTTGCATGGGTAGCAGCCAATTATCTCAGGGGTTTCTTTTGGTCAAACAAGTAAGTTACCAACTCTTGCATGGGTAGCAGCCAATTATCTCAGGGGTTTCTTTTGGTCAAACAAGTAAGTTACCAACTCTTGCATGGGTAGCAGCCAATTATCTCAGGGGTTTCTTTTGGTCAAACAAGTAAGTTACCAACTCTTGCATGGGTAGCAGCCAATTATCTCAGGGGTTTCTTTTGGTCAAACAAGTAAGTTCTTTGCATGGGTAGCTGCCAATTATCTCAGGGGTTTCTTTTGGTCAAACAAGTAAGTTGTCAACTCTTACATGGGTAGAAGCCAATTATCTCAGGGGTTTCTTTTGGTCGAACAAGTAAGTTACCAACTCTTGCATGGGTAGCAGCCAATTATCTCAGGGGTTTCTTTTGGTCGAACAAGTAAGTTACCATCTCTTGCATGGGTAGCAGCCAATTATCTCAGGGGTTTCTTTTGGTCAAACAAGTAAGTTACCAACTCTTGCATGGGTAGCAGCCAATTATCTCAGGGGTTTCTTTTGGTCAAACAAGTAAGTTACCAACTCTTGCATGGGTAGCAGCCAATTATCTCAGGGGTTTCGTTTGGTCAAACAAGTAAGTTATCAACTCTTACATGGGTAGAAGCCAATTATCTCAGGGGTTTCTTTTGGTCAAAAAAGTAAGTTATCAACTCTTGCATGGGTAGCAGCCAATTATCACAGGGGTTTCTTTTGGTCAAACAAGTAAGTTACCAACTCTTGCATTGGTAGCGGGTTTCTTTTGGTCAGACAAGTAAGTTACCAACTCTTGCATGGGTAGCAGCCAATTACCTCAGGGGTTTCTTTTGGTCAAACAAGTAAGTTACCAACCCTTGCATGGGTAGCAGCCAATTATCTCAGGGGTTACTTTTTGTCAAACAAGTAAGATACCAACTCTTCTCACGTATGACGAAATCGTATACATGTACGTGTGTGGTCAGTGACCTTAAATATATTTTTGTTTCTCGTAATTACAAGAGCAAAAATGTAATTAAATAGAATGTAATTTGATTTGTAATATGTATTCATTGAGTTTAAATAACGCTTTTTTCCATAATTACAAGAGCAAAAATATTTTAACAGAATACAGTTTATAATTTGATAAGTAATATTTACGCCGTATTGACGTGCTGTGTTCTTTTTACAACAAAATTGTTTGCTCAAAAATATGTTCTTATTAACTTGTCTTTTGGGAAAGATACCGGGAATACTAGCTAGTAAGTCTATTCCAGTGTGTATTTTAAATATAAAACACTAAATACTAGATTCTTTTTCTTCAAATGGTCTGATTTTGTGCAATTTAAACAAATTCAAGCAAACTTTGCTCTTCGTGTATGATACGAAAAGATAACAACCATCTATTTTATACAAGAAGTCAATGACCGGGACCGTGAAGCGGACCCAGGCTTTGGCTTGCCCGGCTATAGACTTCACGTGTATTTAAAAGGAAATCAAATATTAAAATATATATAGGTTTCTTTACCTATCTGTAAATTTTCAAAGTCATTTCTAATTGGGCGCCTCCATTTTTGATGTATCTCAATGATAAGAGGCGGGGTAGTCCGATAATAGAACTAGCGCAACTTTTTGGCTTATCAATAATCGTCAAGGTTTATCGAATGAAAACGGAAGAGGTGCAAAAAACAACGAATTACACCTTAAAAATGTAAAATAAAAAACGAATATTTCTTTTAATATCTGACTTCCTCGTTCATAGGCTTTGCCTATTTTCATATTAATATAGGTGCATAATTGTTTTGTTGCACACAATTGATAATAAAAATTATACTAAGATATAGCAAACATTTTGTTTCAGGCCCCCGAGTCAGGCTGTGGGAGTCTTAGAGATGGGTGGCGGTTCCACACAGATTGCCTTTTTACCAGATCATTCAATATATGCAAATATGTTTCCCGTGCAGATCGGTGATGTTACATATCTACTGTATGCTCATAGTTACCTATTTTACGGACAGAACTATATTGTGTCTAGAATCAACGATTATCTTATAGCCCAGAACGCCGGGAGTAATCTGAACATAAAAAATCCGTGTATGCTTAAAGGTGGTGAGTAAGATTCCTTTTATTCATATTCAAATTTTAGGGGTATACTTCTTTTTTAAATATTTGAGCAATTTGATCATAACGAGACTTTTTTGAGATAGGATACCAGGTTTTCTGACAGAACATTATTTTAATCATTTATGCAAATGCATGCCTTTTCTCGTTGGTATCTCTGTTATTTGTAATACATGTAGCAATAATGATACCTTCATATTGCTTTAGTTTTATCCTGAAATATATCAAGGTTCCAAATAGTTATAAAGTGCTGGTAGTAATCTACGGATTCGACTTGTAGTCTAAGCACAAGGATTGCTAGCTGGGTTGGTTCAAACACTGTCAGGGACAAGCCTTGTTTCCGTTAATAAGAAGCTGTACACTAACTGCTTAGTACTGGTTGGTTCCAGGAAAGGACTCGAGAGTGCTTAACGCTTCCAACACAATCGAAATGAAATTTATTTGTATAAACTAGATAATTATACGCATTTAGAAACTCTGCTTAAATTGGATAACTCGCTTTTATTTTAACCTTCTAATATTTCAGATAACACAACTGTTTTGTCCAGTGGTAATTCCGTCCATATCATGGGGTCATCAAACTCCTCACAGTGCCTTGAAATTATTGAAATTTTTCTTAAAACTGCCGCCGACAACTGGTGCTATCCGAAACCCTGTGCCATTGGGCGTACTTATCAACCCTCGGTTGGAAATCTCGTTTTCTACGCGATCTCGGCTTTCGTTTATTCTCCAACTTACCTCAATGCATTAGATGAACTAGGGAGGTTAGATATGCAACTGCTGAAAACAAATGCTGTACAGTACTGTCAAAAAGTAAGTAGGCTTATTTTACCGTTTGTACTTTGATTCTACATGCCTCCAGATGAGACAAACTGTTTCAAGTAAATCAAACTTGAAAAAAATGTAATAAGATCTTAAGGAAAGTAAAACGTTTCAAGATTTATGTAATGATTTACATCTTATGTGCGATTATTGTTTGATTTTGCAGAATTTAACACCACATTTCTACTGCGTAACTAACGCAGTTATGACTATTTTTGCATATTTTGACATCTCTGTGGTAATTTACGTGGATTGTAAGTAACGTTTACAGTGTGTAAATTAATTTCTTTGTTCACTTCACAATATTTTATTTTTAAATACAATTTTTAGAATATACATTGTAGAATGAATTTTAAAGGCTAGGAAGTTATAAAAGACAAATTAGCTAAAAATATGAAAAAATACAAAATCTTACTATTCAACATGGCCCATATATGGGTTTCAAGAATTCAGGGCAAAGTTATGGCAATGGATAAGATGTAATTATTATACTCTTTAATTAAATATAGCGTGACTTTAGTAGTGCTTTGCAAATTTAGCGATGAAGGGGGCGCATGCGCATCGGATATATTTAAAAGAAAACATTTTCCTTTCAGTACATCTGTATTTTTTTTGTATTAGGATATCCAAAATCAAATAAAGTTTTAAACACTAAAAGGAAAAGGGTAGGCCTTTTAAGGCCTTAAAAACTGAAATATTCACAAGTTGGATTAAAACAACAGTAAAAACAGATAACAAAGGAAACGTTGATATAAAGAAGAACCCCCCCCCCCCAAAAAAATAAAAATATACGCATATTTATTTTTCAGACACTCTCAGAGGTGGTAGCTACAGGACTGAACGCCGAGTATGCTTCCCCATACTGTTTAATGGGTCTTTATATACCTTCACTTCTCATGAACGCTTACGATTTCCAGGCCGACAGAAATATTGTCTTTGTAAAGTCAAAAATCAACGAGATTGATATAGGTACGTCTCATTATTGTTATTATAGAATACGAAAATAAGGATCAACAAGAAAGCGCGGCATTCAATGAACGCACCCCGCACCCCCAACAAAACCCATTTACCCAGTACCACCGGCAAAAAGTCCAGCAGGGCACAAAACAACCGACGAGGACTAAGGGCGAAACACGGACGTGGTGTTACTATTTATTATAAACAAATGAATAAAAGAAAGAATAAAATTGGTAATTAACTAAGAGGCATGCACAGGGATATGGGTTAATGGGATAGGGAACACATTGTCAAAATTTGAAGAAAAAAATGTAAAAAAGGGAAACTTACCGTTGAAATTGTACATGGACGAGGTATCTCTTAATATTGTACATGAATAAAACGAATGCAAATAAGTTCTTCTCAATATTTTACTTGAATACACACAGAGGTGCATCTCAATATTGTACATGAATAAAATGAATGCAAATAAGTACGTCCATATATTGTACATGAATTAAGCGAATGCAAATAAATACGTCCATCTATTGTACATGAATAAAGCGAATGCAAATAAATACGTCCATCTATTGTACATGAATAAAGCGAATGCAAATAAGTATTCCATCTATTGAACATGAATAAAACGAATGCAAATAAGTTCTTCTCAATATTTTACTTGAATACACACAGAGGTGCATCTCAATATTGTACATGAATAAAATGAATGCAAATAAGTACGTCCATATATTGTACATGAATAAAGCGAATGCAAATAAGTACGTCCATATATTGTACATGAATAAAGCGAATGCAAATAAATACGTCCATCTATTGTACACGAATAAAGCGAATGCAAATAAATACGTCCATCTATTGTACATGAATAAAACGAATGCAAATAACTATGTCCATCTATTGTACATGAATAAAACGAATGCAAATAAGTATGTTATATACTTTAACTTTATCTTGTTTTAATGTTATATACACCTTTTACGGTAGTAAGATTTGACCAATGTTGTATTGTTCAATAAAAACATTAATCTTCACACGTTATTATCCATTTTACAGTGCAAATAAAAATCATATATTAATTATGTTTATTGAAAAAAAAATGACAACTTTTTAATATTCATTCATTATTTTCCATTTCAGATTGGGCATTAGGTGCCATGCTACAATTTACACAAAACGAGGACAATTTTTGTACTATATCTGCTATGTCCAGTTATCACATATGGATCACCCACACTACATTAGCTAGTGTTATTTTATATACAGCCATCCAGATTCTATTTTAACACTTTGAATGGATTGTCCTCTCAGAATAAAGTCAGGGGATCCTACACCTTTGTGCAGTATGTCCAGGCTGTATACATTTACCAGTGGTTACTATTTTTTAAAACCTGGATTGTTTCAAATTCAAAGCAAGGAACGTTAATTTACACGAGTTTTAGGGCAAAAGGTGTTATCATATTTTTCTGAACTAAGTTATGTTACAAATACAAGTATGTGTTGAAAGTTGTTTTAATTGTTCTCAATATAATTAGGAAAGTTATTTTGTTAAGTTGCTGCAATAAAGCTTCAAAATGTCATACAAAGTGTGGAATTACTTTGTTATTGATATTTATATCCAGGCATTCAGAATTAGATTAATCACATTCGTTTGTATTTGGATAGTGCAATATCTTATAAACTTGGCTGACAACGACACGAAACATTGAAAGGAGTTGTTGAAGAGACACAATATGAAGTTATTGTCTGGACAACATTGGAGACTATGTTACTTTAAAGGGGCTCAACTGTGCTTTTTCCTTTTTTGACATGACAGGACTGGACGTATTTTTTTAGATAAATGTTCGATTTGATGTAGGACAAGACCAATAACTTAAGTAATTGTGAAAAAATTGAAAAGCGTTGCAACGCTTTTTTACCAAATCCGTCCCGAGAAAAAACAAACAAAATGTTCTCAAAATTATTTTCGTGTTTTTTCCCAAAATTTTTTTGGGATATTTTTATGGTTTTAAAGTGCTTTGAGGTTTTCTCTATGTAGGGAAATTTAAAATTTTTGAACCCCAAATAGAGTCCCCTTTATATAATTTTTAAAGACTTTAAAAACGTTTTAAAAATGTATTTTGGGGAAATTTTTAAACGATAGCCCTTTAACCCGTATTGAATAATTTATAAAATTTATAGAAAAGTGTTTTTTTTAAAGTTCCCCTTTTAAAAAAATGTATATTTAAAAAAAAGGGTTTGATTTTACAAAGTGGAACCCTCAATATGCTTAACTATGAATTCAAATAATCATTACTTAATCATATTTAAAAATACATGTACTGATATTGCAGGCAATATTCCACCAAATAACATTTTTGTCTAAATATTATATTGAAATTTTTAAGTTTTTAAAAATTTTTAAGAAAAATAAATTATTAGGGTAATGCTGGTTTTGAAAATTTGGGTTTGGGTTTTTGGTTTTTTTTGGCCGATTTTAACCCCTTTTTTCGTCAAAAATCCCGGGCCCCTTTCCCGGCTTTTTTTGGATTTAAATTTTCCCCCGCAAGTTTTCCAAAAATGATCCGTGGCGGGAAAAGTCAGTGTCCCAGATTTAAAACGCCACGGAGACCCTTTCGCCCCATCCCAGGATCGAAAACCCCGGGTTTCCCCCGGAAATTTAAACCGATGTCCCCAAAATGAGGGTAAACGGGGGGGACATTGCATATTTCGTTGTAAAATTTTAAAAATTTAGCAAAATATGTAAATGAATGAGCTAAATTAAACATTATTATCGAGACATTTGAGTGATAGAGAAAAGGTTCAATATCTAACAAATATGTGGCAAAACGAGATATAAAACTGTCAAGGTCTTTCTAGAATATCGGTTTCTTTCTTAAATAATGTAAATCTTTTTTTTCGGCTCTTGTTTGGGTATTTTTGTTGTTATTGTTGTTTTTTTTATCATGTGATATTATTAGACGATCTTTTTATTACATTTTTCAGAACTATTTTAATATTTTTATTGACAACTTATGCGCGTAAATATTTCTTTGCAAGTAATTTTCTTTTCTTAAAAAAAAGTCTTTAAGAGGCATTTCATTCATTCTTATGCAAAATTCCGAAATTTTGGGAATTGTAGTTTTCTGTTTGCCTCGTTATAATTGTAAGAATAGACACTTAAGAAAAAACGTGCAATGCCTATGCGTAGTGGTTTTGTTCTCATTTTGCTATATGTACAGTTCATATTGAGACTTTAAATAATTATTACGTTTTATACATTTATAGAATATGAAAATACATCATGTTAGATAATAGATTAATAAAAATTACAAATATTTAATACCTTGTTGTTAATTTTTGTAACATATTTATGTTCAAGTCTGCGCTCTGCAAGAATTTTACAAAGGTTGACGCTGTCCAGTGATTTTCCCCGTTTACAAATATAAATATCAGAAACATTAAAGATATACTATGTTCATCCTTTAATGAAATATTGTAATCACAGAAATTTATTGAAATCTATGAAATTCTTACTTAGTATGTCCACTTTAAATAAAAGAATGAATGAACTATGTATGGAAAGTTGAGTTCCCTATTACAGGTCAAGTTTTTTAAATAAAAAAAAAACAACAAACAAAAAACCCTACCAGTTTTTTTTAAATGAAACTATTCATACTGTGACCTGTAGCGTGTAGAGTCTACTTTGTGTGAAATAAGAAGATATTTATATTTACAAAGAGCAATTATCAATATTTTATAATATCAAATTAAGGCATTTTTTGAGCATAGTATATCTTTTATGTGTCGGTTTTGTTTGTAAGTACATGTATTTTACTTTCGTCGAGCAATATTGAGTGCAACTTTTTTCTACTGAAGGATTTCGCGTGCAGGAAAGAATCAAAAGCACGCTAATTTGAAGTAATCACTGTGATTCAAAAGCGGACAAACACCGTATATTATCAACATGAAAGCTTTGTTTGCAAAACATCGACAAATAGGCTTGGCATCATGCACTGATGCAAAGATTTTTTAATTATTCGGACGCATCTGTTACTTTGCTGTAAAGTAATTTGTATGTTTAAACTTTGACAATGAAGTGTTTTATTTGGTTGTAAATTTAACTGATTATTGATATATTGTGAATATAGTACCATTACATGAGGTCACTGATCCTAGGATTAAATCACAAGCTGGCGATATAAGAAATAAAAGATTTATTCCAGAATTCGTGTTTTAGTCGGAACGCTTCAATATCATTTCAAGTCGACATTGCCCAATGATATACTGGAAACAGAGATAATATTATATATTTTACAATAGAATATGTTCAAGAAATATCGAACCCAGTTCATGTACTGCAGTGCAGACCGACTGAATATTGCGCGATATTAAAACAGCATGCCTCCAGATTCCTGCTTATTTTCATGAAAATTTTAAAAAATATATTTAAAAGTAAAAATATTGTGAAGCGAACAAGGAAGTAATTTACACACCGCAACGGCACTTACAATCCACGTTAATTACCAATAGGAAGTCAAAACATGCAAAAAAAAGTCCTTACTGCGTTAGTAATGCAATAGAATTATGGTGATTAATACATTGTATTGCAAAACGTTCATCCAAAACCATATAAAATGTAAATTAACACTTTTAATAGTTTAAAACTTAGTAACTTTTTCTCAAGTTTTTATTTTCTTGAAAAAAATTTTGGCTCGTCTGGAGATTTTAAGCAAAAGAACGCTCCTTTAAAGTCATATCGGCATGTTTAAAAGCGGACAAAACACCGTTTGTTATTAACTTCGCTTAATTAGCGACATATCGACAAAACAGGCTTGGCATTTTTTCCAGACATTGACATCCTGTAATGACTCAAAGAGTAAAGAACTTAAGCAGCCGTATTTTTTCTACCGAACGTTTAGTTTGTTTAAACATGGGCGTTTATTTAATAAGCATTTTGTTTGCTTTGCGGTGTTTACAGAACATTGGCCGACTGAAATGCAATACCTTTGTTTTATAAAATCACTTATGCAATGTTTTACAAACTGTCTGAATTTAAGGGGGAATACATCGCACTCAAGTAAATAATGTTGTTTTTTAATTATTCTTGGAAAATATAATTTCAACGCACAAGGGAACGACTTGTGCTGGATTTATTACTGGGATGTGAAGGCAAAATTTTCCTGAAAGTCGATGTACCATTACATAAATATTACAAATCAAAAGACTTTAAAAAATCAAGATATCACATAATGGGGTATTAAACAATTAAAAAAAAAATTTGGGGTTCCGTCCCCTCAATTTAAATTCAAACATCCTAATTTCCGGTATACCAAAATTTGGGGTTTTTTTCATTTTTCCCTGTTTTTTTTTTCTTTCGGCCCTTCGTTCAATACAAATTTTTTTCAATAAAACCTTTTTTTAAATGAGGCCATTTAAAACCCGATGTTTCCCTTCTATTTTTCAAATTGCCCGTGCACCACAAAAAAAACTTCTGATTTAATTTGTAATAGTTGATCAATGTCATCATCAGCTAGCTTAGCTGAAATGAAGCTATGCTTACTAAAAGCTTTGAATTAAAGCGTAAGGTATACTTTGTGACTAGGCAATTTTTTTATACAACCAGTAAGTGACCATAGTTTGTGAAACAACCAATAAGTGACCATAGTTTTTGACACATCCAGAAAGTGACCATAGTGTGTGACACTACCAATAAGTGATTATATAGTATGTGATACAACCAATAAGTGACCATAGTTTGTGACACAACCAATAAGTGATCGTAGTGTGTGACACTACCAATAAGTGATCATATAGTGTGTGATACAACCAATAAGTGATCATAGTGTGTGACACAACCAATAAGTGATCAGTGTGTGACACAACCAATAAGTAACCATAGTGTGTGACACAACCAATAAGTGGCCATAGTGGTGTGAAACACAACTAATAAGGTGGCCATAGTGTGTGACACAACCAATAAGTGATCAGTGTGTGACACAACCAATAAGTTGATCATAGTGTGTGACACAACCAATAAGTGATCAGTGTGTGACACAACCAATAAGTAACCATAGTGTGTGACACAACCAATAAGTGGCCATAGTGTGTGACACAACCAATAAGTGATCATAGTGTGTGACACAACCAATAAATGATCAAGTGTGTGACACAACCAATAAGTAACCATAAATGTGTGACACAAACCAATAAGTGGCCATAGTGTGTGACACAACCAATAAGTGGCATAGTGTGTGACACAACTAATAAGTGACCATAGTGTGTGACACAACCAATAAGTGGCCATAGTGTGTGACACAACTAATAAGTAACCATAGTGTGTGAAACAACCAATAAGTGACCATAGTGTGTGACACAACCAATAAGTGACCATAGTGTGTGACACAACCAATAAGTGACCATAGTGTGTGACACAACCAATAAGTGACCATAGTGTGTGACACAACTAATAAGTGACCATAGTGTGTGACACAACCAATAAGTGACCATAGTGTGTGACACAACCAATAAGTGGCCATAGTGTGTGACACAACCAATAAGTGGCCATAGTGTGTGACACAACTAATAAGTGACCATAGTGGGTGACACAACCAATAAGTAACCAATGTGATACAACCAATACCTGGTTATAGTTTGGCACTAAAAATAATTGACCATAGTTTATGACACAAAAAGTGGCCATATACTTCTAATGACAGGAAGAATATTTTTACATCAACTAAAAACATGGCAATCTTTAATTAAGGAAACTTATCATTTAACTATCAAATGTATTAAATTTTTGGTTAGATAGGTAAAATTGAAGATACAAAACCTTCTGAGAGTAGATAAATATATCTTTATTTGTAATTTGTACATATTTACAATAAAACATTTTAACAGTAACATAATACAATCAATAAAGAGCACAAACAATACTAAAA